AGATCAAACGAGAACAGACAGCTGATAAGCACACTAAGCATTTTACTTAGGAAAACGACGAAGACCGTCATTGTTGGCGATTTTAGTCTGCCCGAGGATTGTGAATACGCTGACGCGGGAGATATTCCCTCTGAGATGAGTTCCTAAGGCTTTCCACGAGCAGGCACTTTATAAACATGTTCGACAACCAACTCCATTCAGATGTGGACAGAGATCGTCCATTTTATATCTAGTGCTTACTCGGGCGGAGATCGACGTTAGTGAAATAGCCATGGAAGTCCCTCTGGGCAAGAGCAATCATAGTTTAATCACTTTTAGGACGTGCATAAATCAACAAAAGCCCCCTCCAAATTCATCAGGAACTTCGATTGAATGAATGTGGCCATCCTACTTCAAGAGGCTGGTTCAACCATTTGGTGGTCGCCCAACGAGGAGGCATCTGTTGAGGAGGAATGGGGCGTACTTTGGGAATGCTTACTAGAGCTCACTGATAGTTACGCCCCATTGCAACCGAGGAGAAATTCACAAGGTTCTGCATGGTGAGCAACTCCCATAAAGAGAGCGATAACTTTCAGGGGGAGTAAAAGGAGGGACTATGCAAACTCTGGAGAGCAGCACAGGTGGTTGGCCTACAAAATGGCCCGAAATTACGCAAACAAGCTTTTTAAACAAGCTAAAATGAAACATGAATTGAGGATCGCTCAGCAAACTAAAACCAATCTCAAAAGGTTTTACGCGTATGTACAGTCAAAGGCTGTCCTTAGGCAATCAATTTGGGTCATACGAAACGATGCATGGGAATAAGGGTCAACAGAAGCAGAGAGGTGCGAGATACTGAAAACGTTTTTGAAAGCTTCCGTAAAATGGATGATGGGCGCAGCCATCCCTCACATATTTCTACCTTTCAGAAAAAATGCATATCGAAGTGTTGGAAGCCAAGAAAATTCGCCGACAACACGCAAATCTGGACGCTCGATTGGCAAGAGCCACAATTTGTCCTGTGAAAACTAAACTGAACATCTGCCACAGGTAAGAGCTCCTCCAATGAGCGATCTACAGGTGGAAAAAGCTTAATTTCTGAAGATATTCACTGAATATAAATCTGGCAAATCAGCAGGGAGTGATGGACTTCATCCGGCCATTGTCAAGCCGCTCGCAGTGATTTTGGTGGCTTCCGTGTGTGCAGTATACGATAAATCTCTAAGACTGGGTGAGATATCGAAAGACTGGAGGACGGCGACAGTTGTGGAAATACACATAGGAGGTGCTGAAAGGAGCCAGGAAAATACAGACCAGTTAGTCTCTCTAGTATCCTCTGTAAAGGACTTGAGACAATCGTTAGAAAAGGGCATAAGTAAGCATGTTGCGCGCTACAACCCAATATTCTCGACCCAACACGGGTTCCTCAAAAAGACGTCATGCCTCAGTATTCTGTTGTGCTTCCTAGATGAAGTCACAAAGAAGTTGAATGAAGGCCAAAAGTCGGAGCTTGTTACTTAGACCTTAGAAAGGCTTTTTACTCGGTTAATCACCGGTTGCTTCTTAAAATGCTTGAGAACTTTGGACTTAATAATAATAAGTGTATATTTCACGGAGCCCCGTGAGGCACACATAGGCATGATCAAATGTACAACATAATCCTCCGTACAGGAGAGGCCCAAAATGGGGGGAAAAAATGGAAGGTCGCAGTGAACATAATTACAAATGGAACACAAAGTGGACAAGGTATCAGAGAATAAGGATCCAGATGGCAGAATGCTCCAAAAGAGCAAGTCGGTGGAAGTAGGATGAAATACAAGAATCGGTATACCGGATGAATGATGAGATAATTGGAAA